AAGGGTGTAGGTCCTCTGCTTGGCCCCTGAAGACCAAGTGGTGAGCCAAGGCAATGGTTTCCCACAGAGGACCAGGTGTTCCTGGGAACCCAAACATCCTGGAGCGTACAGGTTACCTACCAAGAAAAACTAATCCATCGCATGCAGTAGGCAATGAGCCAAAAAATAGCTTAAAAGCAGCTTAGAAATATGTAGCAGGGAAGGTCTCTGGAGTTTTCCTGTTGCTGCCCAGGAATGCCCTGTATATAAGTCCTAAAACCCTCATGTACTCGTTGAGTTGGACTTGTCCAGGTTATAATTTGATCACTTAGCTCCTTCCCAGGGTGTGGGGACATTTTTCTAAATATTCCTGTTTTTTTTTCTCATAACAAAATAATATTGGGTATTGAATATGGGAGCCTTAACAAATGGGACCACAGCATTTTAGCTGTAGTAGTCTACCATGAGGCAATTTTCATTCTTCCCAGGGTTAAGAATAGGCAAAATCAGGCTGTTAAATGGAGAAGCAACGGGAATGATCATTCCTGTACTAATCTTTTACATAAGAGATTTTAATCCTTGAAAAGTCTGTTTTTAGTTACATTAAATCTTATAAACTATTTTAACTGGGGGCACGTGGGGTCCTGTTTAATCGATCCAATTTGTAAATGCCAAATAATCGATTTAAGTTTAATTTGTTATTCATTGTGTTGGAACATAATTTAGAACAATGGGTATTATGATTGGGAAATTTGGGAAAAGAAATAAAGTGAAATATATCTATTTTTCTCTATTTTATATTTAGCTACTCTCATAAGATGATCAGGGTGTCTTGTTTAAATCTAGCAGGATCCCCAAGTGTAACTCTAATTTGAGCTCCAGTATTAAAGCCATGAACTTTTGTCAATTGCTGTATTTAAGTCAACACTAAAGTTAATTCAGGAACTACGTTGCAGAGGTATGAAAGCCAATCAGTGCATTTTTATCTGTTATATCAATTATTTTAGTACATTTTGGATTTCCAATTGGGTTAAATTACAAAACTTGGTTTCATCATCATCATCATCATCAATGAATTATTTTAGGAGTATCAGTAGTATTTCTTCCCCTTATATAATTTTTCTTTCTTTCTTTTTTTTTTTGCTATGGGCTTCTAGCCAAATAAAGACATGGTTTTGTTCCTATTTATGTCTGATAACTCATAGTACTGAACTTCTAGGTGGTTAGAGAAAAGGGGAGTGGGAGAAGAGTAAAAGTGGACCGCCATATGAGTATCTGTCTCTTGTTCCAAGGCTTCCTAGTTCACTTCACAGAGATTGGAGCTTGTACCTTGAGATTCATAGCGGTCTCTCACTGGGACGGCACAAGTTAGTTCCTTTGTCCAAGGTGTCAGTCTGTTAGGTTAATCCGCAGATCCATTTACTAAAACCCAAACAAATGGTTAGAGGTCTTGCAGTATTTAAGCAATGGGGTAACTTTATTAGGTGTTCTGGTAGGGAGGGGTTTAGGCATTGAATGTTTTCTGCCTTTAGGTTAAGCACTGGGTTACTGGTCTCCGGGGTGTGACCAATGCTAGTCCTCTCAGGGTCTGGGGGCTTGAAGATTACCCATTAACATCCTTTCTCTTTGTGGGGGATGGGGACAGGTTTCACTCTTGTTGCTCAGGCAGAGTGCAGTGGTGCCATCTCAGCTCACGCAGCCTCCACCTCGGGTTCAGGTGATTCTCCTGCTCAGCTCCTGTAGCAGAGGGATTGCGTGCGCGCAGAGCAGAGACTCCATCTCAAAAATACGTTGTTAGAGGATAGACACGTTTTGTTTATTAATTCTTCCTATCTAAAAGGTTTTATTACTTTGTTTTCACCCTTTGGCTATTTGTATGTGAATAGCGGCTCTTGCGCAGCAGACATGGACTTGCTTATATGTGTCCACACAACCTCTTTCTTTGGGAGACAGAGTTTCACTCTCTTATGTTGCCCAAGGCTGGCAGAGTGCAATGGCGCGATCTCAGCTCACCGCCCGGCCCTCTGCCTCCCAGGTTCAAGCGATTCTGCTCCTGCACACTCAGCTCCTGTGGCTGGGATTACAGCCACGATGCACACCACGCCTGGCTAATTTTTGCTATTTTTAGCAGGGACGGAGTTTCCTCCATGTTGGTCAGGCTAGTCGAGGAACTCCTGACCTCTGGGTGATCACTTGCCTTGGCCTCCCAAAGTGCTGGGATTGGGCATGAGCCACTGAGCCTAGTCCAACAACCTGCCTTTCCAATTCTTTACAGGATATACCCAGAGTAGATTACTACTATGGTAATACTATTTTGGTACACAGAGACTTTGCCATGCCTGTTTCCCACAGCAGGTGCACCATTTTACACATTCTCATGAAATTTTTGTTGTTACAATTTCTCTACCTCTTGATCAACACTTGTTATTTTCCAGGTTGCTTGGCTGGTTGGTTGGTTTTGGACAGTAGCCATCCTATTGGCTGTGAGTGGTTCTGCTTTTCGCTTTTGCAGAGGTGGCGGGTGGCATTTTCCTGGGGAGCCTTTACTTGTATCAGGCTCGGTTGCAATCTTGCCTGGCTTATCTCAGGACACCTCACAGCCCCAATAAGAAAGGGCTATCTTGTACTCTGGCTTGAAAGGAGTTAAGGAACCTGCGGAGTCTGGAAGTAAACTTTGCAGCATCAGAAAGTGAACCCGAGGTCTTATCCCTCTTGCTTTCCTGCATAATTGTTATTCACTACTTTAGAGGCACCGAAGTGTTAGATTATACTTTGATCACACAGCTGGTTCTACAGAAGCCTGGCTCAGGCACCAAAGGGTGACACCACCTGTAGTCCCGGCTACTTGGAAGGCTGAAATGAAAGGATCACCCTGAGGCACACACTTTGGCCACCAGGGGACAGAACCACAAGACCACACATAACAAACAAAAAAGGAAAGAAAAGAAGGCCAGGCTGGTGGCTCACACCTGTAATCCACAGCACTTTGGAGGCGGGGCAGTCGGATCTATGAGGTTGGAAGTTCAAACCAACAAGCCAAATGGAGAAACCCTGTCTCTCTACTAAATCTGAAATGAACTGTCAAGTGGTGATGCATTACATATTTTCTCTGAGGTTGAGGAAGGAGAATCACTTGAATCTGGGGAGGTGGAGGTTGCAGTGAGCCGAGATCATGCCATTGCACTCTCAGCAAATTGACTGTCTCAAAGAAAAAAGAAAAAGAAAAGAAAAAAGAAAAGAAATCATAAGGAAGCATATGAGATGTTCCTATTTTAGGTGGTACCCACCCATAAAAATGATGCGGGCTGGGTATGAGTGAAACTCACATGCTACAAGTCCCAGCACTTTGGGAACCTGAGGCAGGTAGATCACGGGGTCAGGAGTTCGAGACCAGCATGGCTAGCACCAGGTGAGCCCGTCCAGCACTTTGGGAACCTGAGGCAGGCAGATCACGAGGTCAGGAGTTCGAGACCAGCATGGCTAACATAGTGAAACCCCGTCTCTACTAAAAATACAAAAAATTAGCCGGGCGTGGTGGCTGGTGTCTGTAATCCCAGCTGCTCAGGAGGCTGATGCAGGAGAATGCCTTGAACCCGGGAAGCGGAGGTTGTAGTGAGCCGAGATCGCGCCATTGCACTCCAGCCTGGGCGACAGAGTGAGACTCCGTCTCAAAAAAAAAAAAAAAAAGAAAAAAAAAAAGAAAAAGAAAAAAAAGATGCCATCTTTTTTTTTTTTTTGAGACGGAGTCTGGCTCTGTCGCCCAGGCTGGAGTGCAGTGGCCGGATCTCAGCTCACTGCAAGCCCCGCCTCCCGGGTTCACGCCATTCTCCTGCCTCAGCCTCCCGAGTAGCTGGGACTACAGGCGCCCGCCACCTCGCATGGCTAATTTTTTTTGTATTTTAGTGGAGACGGGGTTTCACCATGTTAGCCAGGATGGTCTCGATCTCCTGACCTCGTGATCCGCCTGTCTCGGCCTCCCAAAGTGCTGGGATTACAGGCTTGAGCCACCGCGCCCGGCCAAAAGATGCCATCTTAACATCTTAACCGTTTCTGGCAGAAATACCAGTGTCTAGCATGGAGCCAGCTTATTAGAATCAGCACTGATCTTTTCTTTGTTTTGTTTTGTTTTGTTTTGAGACAGGCTGGTTTCAAACTCCAGGGCTCAAGCGATCCTCCTGCCTTAGCCTCCCAAAGAGCTGAGACTTACGGGCGTGAGCCACTGCACCCAGCTACATGCTAGGATTCTATGTTTGTTTCATTAAACAACCATATAGCACCTACCAAATAGCAGACACTATCACGCCAGGCTGGGCTCGGTGGCTCAGGCCTGTAATCCCAGTACTTTGGGAGGCGGAGGCAGGAGGATTGCTGGAGGCCAGGAGGTCGAAGATGCAACGGATTGTGCCACTGCACTTCAGCCTGGGTGACAGAGCAATCAATACCTTGTCTCTAAAAATAAAGCAATAAGAATTCTCACGTCAACCCTGACATAGGCACTAGTATGACCCTCATTTTACTATGGAGGAAAGTACCGCACATAGGGGTGAAATCTGCCCAGGGTAACACAGCTAGTAAGTGGCAACGCTGGGATTCGAACCCAGTAACTTGGCTACAGACGCCATATATCTATGCAGCCTCTCATAGAATCTACTTATTCTCTATGCTTATTGTGTGTATCCCACGCACACACTGTAGGATGTAAGTTCCAGGAGAAGCTGCTTGGGACTTTGCCTTTAGAATCCGGCCCTGCACAGAGCAGGCGCTCGACCTATGGAGAAATAAACAGCCGCTTTCCACCCCGCGCAGGCGCATCTGGAGGGCTAACGGAGCCTCCCGCTTCCTGCGCCGATTGGTCATCGCCGATGACTGACGGAGGAGTGGTCGCAGGCGCACCAGGCCAGACCCAAAGCGGCTTCCCCCATTCTAAGACGCTGCTCCCTATGCCTATTGGCTACTGCTTATGACTGACGTAGAAAAATTTCCAATGGAAAGCAACCTCTTCGGGAAGAGGGCGGGCTCCGCGGGCAGTCAAATTTGCGCGGGTTGGGGCCCAGCGTAGTCATGGCCGCTTTCCGCGACATAGAGGAGGTGAGCCAGGGGTTGCTCAGCCTGCTGGGCGCCAACCGCGCCGAGGCGCAGCAGAGACGGCTGCTGGGGCGCCACGAGCAGGTGGTGGAGCGGCTGCTGGAGACGCAAGACGGTGCCGAGCAGCAGCTGCGAGGTGAGAGCTGGAGCGTGGGCGCGGGCCCACGGGGAACAGGGCCCGGGTGCTGGGAGCGGCCAAACCAGGCCGACCTCAACACTCCTTCTTTCCTGGACTCTTCCATCTCCTGCCCTATCCCCTCTGGGACGGCCGCCTCTGAGCCCTCCGGGCTTTATGATAGCAACCATCCCCCGCCCCCCAGGGGTTTAGTGGTAAATATAGGAGCCCGGAGGGGTTGGCCTCTTCTGAGCGCTCCGTGAGCAGGAGCTGGGGGTCTCAGGGTTTGAATTGGAGCTCAGGAGTCAAAGCTCCGGGTTTGCATCCCAGCACCCGTCCCCATGTCCGTTGTGAGACTTGAGGTGAGTTTCCTAGCTTCTCTGTGCCTCAGCTTCCTTCCCTGTCAAATAGTTATGACAATAGCCCATCCCTTCTTCCTGAAGGCATTCAGATGTTTTTATGGATTACCTGCTGCTGCCAGGCCCTGGGCTTACCGCAACCTCCACCTCCCGGCTTCAAGATATTCTCCTACCTCAGCCTCCTGAGTAGCTGGGATTACAGGCGCTTGCCACCACACCCGCCTAATTTTTGTACTTTTAGTAGAGATGAGGTTTCACCACATTGACCAGGCTTGTCTCCAGCTCCTGACCTCAGGTAATCTGCCTGCCTTGGCCTCCCGTAGTACTGGGACTGCAGGCGTGAGCCACTGTGCCTGGCCCATCTTCACTATTTTTAACTGCACAGTTCAGTGGCGTTAAGCACATTCGCACTGCTGTGCAGCCATCATCACCATCATCTGTCTCCGGAACTTTCTCATCTTTCCAAACTGAAGCTCTGTCCCCATAAACCACTCACTCCCCATCCCCTTCTCAGACCCTGGCACCCACCAGGGATCTACTTTCTGTCTCAAATTTGACTCCTCTAGGAACTTCACAGAGGAATTGTACAATATCTACCCTTCATAATGGAATCATACAATATCTACCCTTTCGTGTCTGGCTTATTTCACGGAGCATAATGTCCTCCAGGTTCATCCATGTTATAGCCTGTGTCAGAATTTCCTTCCATTTTATTTACTTATTGTGAGACAGAGTCTCCCTCCATTGCCCAGGCTGTAATACAGTGGTGTGATCTTGGCTGACTGCAACCTCTGCCTCCCAGACTCAAGTGATCCTCTCACCTCAGCCTCCCATGTAGCTGAGAAGACACTTACGCACCACCATGCCCGGCTAATTTTTGTATTTTTAGTAGAGACAGGGTTTCACCATGTTGGCTAGGCTGGTCTTGAACTCCCAGCCTCAAGTGATCACCCGCCTTGGCCTCCCAAAGTGTTGGGATGACAAGTGTGAGCCACCACACCCAGCCAGAATTTCCTTCCATTTTAAAGCTGAGTCATATTCCATGATATAGAAGGATGGACCTCATTGTGTTAATTCATTCATCCATCCATGGACACTTGAGTTGTATCCACCTTTTGGCTGTGGTGAATAACACTGGTATGAACACGGGTGACCAAATATCTCTTCAAGACTCTATTTTTTTTTTTTTCAAGACAGAGTCTTGCCCTGTCGCCCAGGCTGGAGTGCAGTGGCGTGATCTTTGCTCACTGCAACCTGTGCCTCCCGGGTTCAAGCGATTCTCCTGCCTCAGCCTGCCAAGTAGCTGGGATTACAGGCACGTTCCAACACGCCCAGCTAATTTTTGTATTCTTAGTAAAGACAGGGTTTCACCATGTTGACCAGGCTGGTCTCGAACTCTTGACCTCGTGATCTGCCCGCCTCAGTCTCCCAAAGTGCTGGGAATATAGGCATGAACCACTGCACCCAGCCCAAGACTCTAGTTTCAATTCTTTTTTGTATTCCGCCAGAAGCAGATCAAATGGTAATTCAAAGTTTAATTTCTGAGGAATCGCCATACAGTTCTTGACAGCTGCAGTGCCAGGGGTTTCAGATGCCTTGTACAGTCACATTTTATGAGGAGGCCTGGGCTGAGCCTAGATTGGCCTATGGAGTCGGCCACAGGATGACTCACGAATGGTGTTCCTGGCAGCGTGGACTGCAAATGCAAAGGTCAGGAGGTGAGAATGAACTTGGCTAGCAGAAGATGAGCTCAGCAGCCGCCTGACTGCCAGGCCTGGTGAGCACCCAGGATGAGGCTGAATGTTATCCGAGTGTAATGTCCCAGGCAGGCTCTTCCCTCCTTCCCTCCTCCTCCTTCCACCCCTCCATTAACTCCCCCTCCTTTGATGGCTTAGGAGAACGGTGTGACTCAGCCAGCCTGGCTGTTAGCAGAATGGATGAGTCTGGGGCCAAGAAAACTGAGAGTCAGGATCCAGGGATCCTGGGCTTTGGGTCAAACAGATCCAGTTTATATCCTAGGTTTGGAGCTATGTACCTGTGGACGAGTCACTGAACTCTGTCTCTGGACCTGTTTTTCATGTCGCAGATGCGGGGCAGAGGAGTAAAGTACACTCTCAGGCTGGCTGGGCGCAGTGACTCATGCCTGTCATCCCAACATTTTGGGAGGCTGAGGTGGGTGGATCACTTGAGACCGGGAGTTCAAGACCAACCTGGTCAACATGGTGAAACCCGGTCTCTACTAAAATTACAAAAATTACAGGCACATGCCAACACGCCCAGCTAATTTTTGTATTCTTAGTAAAGACCGGGTTTCACCATGTTGACCAGGCTGGTCTCAAACTCTTGACCTCGTGATCTACCAGCCTCGGTCTCCCGAAGTGCCTGTAATTCCAGCTACTCTTGGGAGGCTGAGACAGGAGAATCACTTGAACCTGGGAGTTGGAGACTGCAGTGAGCTGAGGTCACACCACTGTATTCCAGCCTGGATGACAAAGCAAGACTGTCTCAAAAAAATAGGCCAAGCGCGGTGGCTCACGCCTGTAATCCCAACACTTTAGGGAGCTGAGGCAGGCAGATCACCTGAGGTCAGGAGTTCAGGACCAGTCTGGCCAACATGGTGAAACCCTGTCTCTACTAAAAATACAAAAATTAGCCAGGCGTGGTGGCGCATGGCTGTAATCCCAGCTACTCGGGAGACTGAGGCAGGAGAATAGCTTGAACCCAGGAAGCAGAAATTGCAGTGAGCTGAGATCACGCCACTGTACTCCAGCCTAGGCAACAGAGCAAGACTGTCTCAAAAATAATAATAAAATGTTTAAAAAAAAAAAAGTGCTGGGCGCGGTGGCTCATGCCTGTAATCCCAGCACTTTGGGAGGCCAAGGCGGGCGGATCACAAGGTCAGGAGATCGAGACCGTCTTGGCTAACACGGTGAAACCCCATCTCTACTAAAAATACAAAAAAAATTAGCCTGGCATGGTGGCGGGCGCCTGTAGTCCCAGCTACCCGGGAGGCTGGGGCAGGAGAATGGCGTGAACCCGGGAGGCGGAGCTTGCAGTGAGCTGAGATCGCGCCACTGCACTCCAGCCTGGGCGACAGAGCAAGACTCTGTCTCAAAAAAAAAAAAAAAAAAAAAAGGCTGGGTGCAGTGGCTCACAGCTGTAATCCAAGCACTTTGGGAGGCCGAGGCGAGCAGATCACAAGGGCAGGAGTTCCAGACCAGCCTGGCCAACATGGTGAAACCCCGTCTCTAGTAAAAATATAAAAATTAGCCAGGCGTGGTGGTGGGTACCTGTAATCCCAGCTACTCAGGAGGCTGAGGCAGGAGAATCACTTGAACCTGGGAGATGGAGGTTGCAGTGAGCTGAGACCGTGCCATTGCATTCCAGCCTGGGTGACAGAGCGAGACTCCATCTTTTAAAAAAAAAAAAAAAAAAAAAAGTGTCCCCTCAGAGAGCTGTGTGAGAATATGTCAAGTAGGAGCGCCTTATAATGAACGGCCATGGGGTAGACATTACTATTCAGGGAAGAATTCAAGAAGAGTCCATTGTCCCTCGGGAGGGCGGACAGACAGCGGGTGGGAAGGCTGTGTGAGCCAGCCGGAGCCTCAGCTGTCCTAACAGGAAATCAGCAGGCACCATCTGAACCAGACCCATCAAGAAATAGCAGCATAAGCAAGTTACTTAGAAATGTGAAGGCCAGTGCCAGAGAAAACAGCTAAAATTTGAAAGTGGCTGCTTCAGAGGGGCGGAGAGGCTTGGAGAAGGGTGTGTGCGTATGTGTTTATGTTTGCAGAACCATATACATGTCATACTGTGATTAAAAATAACTTAATGTGAGTTTCTAAAACTTAAACATGGGCCTTTTGGGAAGCATTTAATCTGCTTTCTCTGAGTTGGCAGGTTTCTAGGAAGGAACAGTAGCCATTTTTGTTTTGGTTTGGTTTGGTTTGGGTTTTTGAGAAAGGATATCTCTCTGTTACCCAGGCTGGAGTGCAGTGGCACAGTGACAGCAGTAATGGCTCACTGCAGCCTCAACCTCCCTGGTTCAGGTGATCCTCCCATCTCAGCCTCCTAAGTAGTTGGGACTACAGGTACACACCACAACGCCTAGTTAATTTTTTGTATTTTTAGTAGAGATGGGGTTTTGCCACGTTGCCTAGGGTGGTCTCAAACTCCTGGGTCCAAGCGATTCTTCTGCCTTGGCCTCTCAAAGTGCTGGGATTCCAGGCACGAGCCACTGTGCCCAGCCACCAGTAGTGTTTTTTGTTTTTTTTTAAATAAGACGGAGTTTTGCTCTTGTTGCTCAGGCTGGAGTGCAGTGGCACGATGTCGGCTCACCACAATCTCCTCCTCCCGGGTTCAAGCGATTCTCCTGCCTCGGCGTCCCGAGTAGCTGGGATTATAGGCATGCGCCACCATACCTGTCTAATTTTGTATTTTTAGTAGAGACGGGGTTTCTCCATGTTAGTCAGGCTGGTCTTGAACTCCTAACCTCAGGTGATCCACCCGCCTTGGCCTCCCAAAGTGCTGGGATTACAGGCGTGAGCCACTGTACCAAGCCTTTTTTTTTTCACCCCGCAAGGTCACATATTTTATTTTCCTTTTTTTTTTTTTTTTTTTTTACTATTATTATATTTTAAGTTCTGGGATACATGTGCAGAAAGTGCAGGTTTGTTACATAGGTATACACATGCCATAGTGGTTTGCTGCACCCATCAACCCATCCCCATCATCTACATTAGGTATTTTTCCTAATGTCATCCCTCCCCTAGCCCCCAACCCCCTAATTTTTGTATTTTTAGTAGAGACGGGGTTTCACTGTGTTGGCCAGGCTAGTCTCAAACTCCTGACCTCATCATCTGCCTGCCTCGGCCTCCCAAAGTGCTGGGATTACAAGCGTGAGCCACCGTGCCTGGCCTAATTTTTGTATTTCTAGTAGAGATGGGATTTTACCACGTTGGCAAGGCTGGTCTTGAACTCCTGACCTTAAATGATCCACCCACCTTGGCCTCCCAAATTGCTGGGATTACAGGCGTGAGCCACCGCACCTGGCCAAGATGTTTTTGCTCTTTCTGGGTGTTTTGTTCAACACCTTTTTTTTTTTTTTTTTTTTTTTTTTTTGAGAGGGAGTCTGGCTCTGTCGCCCAGGCTGGAGTGCAGTGGCCGGATCTCAGCTCACTGCAAGCCCCACCCCCTGGGTTCAGGCCATTCTCCTGCCTCAGCCTCCCGAGTAGCTGGGACTACAGGCCACCTCGCCTGGCAATTTTTTTTTTTGTATTTTTTAGTAGAGACGGGGTTTCACCGTGTTAGCCAGGATGGTCTCGATCTCCTGACCTCGTGATCCGCCCGTCTTGGCCTCCCAAAGTGCTGGGATTACAGGCTTGAGCCACCGCACCCGGCCTCAACACATTTTTATTTCAGGTAGGTGCTGGAGACAAAAAGTGAATAGAAGATGCGGTATCTGATTTGAAGTAGAAAGGTGAGGAAGGAATAATTCAGTGTGCCGGGGCTGTCCTGGAAGCACAGCTGCACTCTGGGAGGGAGAGGAGAGCGCCCCACTGCCTGAGCAGGGCATCACCCTGGAGGCCTTGAAGGCCAGGTATGGGTGTGCCTGCTGGGCGGGAGCATGGGGACATTCCATGGAGCACAGGGGCCCAGGTGAGAACCGAGGCGTATGTGCAAAATGATGAACAGAGAGAAAAGTTCATGCTAGGGAGAAAGAAGGCTGTTTAGGATTGTGAAGATGTAAAAGGAGATCTGGGCTTTATCCTGGAGACACTGGGGAGCCATGGTAGGTCTTTGAGCAGGGGAGTGACTTCCCACTTGGCCTCTCATGCAGCGGAGAGCAGAATGGATTGGCAGATTGGCTTAGGGAGAGACCAAAACGTCAGGCGGGGTAGGAGGAGCAGCAGGAAAGCATTAGGGTGGTCTCGGAGGGATGGGGGACCTGCATGAGGAAGATGAGGAGTGGAGCTGAGCAGGAGGAAGGGAGCTGCCCGGCTTGCAAGGCTCATTGGATGTGGAAAGTGAGTCCTGTGCTTCTTGCTATAAACGTGTTGTGTGTGTGTATGTGTGTCTTTGTGTCTGTGTGAGACACAGTCTCACTCTGTCACTCAGACTGAAATGCAGTGGCGCCATCTTGGATCACTGCAGCCTCAACCTCCTGGGCTCACACGATCCTCCCACCTCAGCCTCCCAAGCAGCTAGGATTGCAGACCTGTGCCACCACAGCTGGCTAATTTTTTTTCACTTTTTTTTTTTTTTTTTTTTTAAGACGGAGTTTCACTCTTGTTGCCCAGGCTGGAGTACAATGACGCGATCTCAGCTCACTGCAGCCTCCGCCTCCTGGGTTCAAGTGATTCTCCTGCCTCAGTCTCCTGAGTAGTTGGGATATCAGGCATGTACCACCACACCCGGCTAATTTTGTATTTTTGGTAGAGATGGGGTTTCTCCATGTTGGTCAGGCTAGTCTCGAACTCCCAACCTCAGGTGATCTGCCTGCCCTGGCCTCCCAAAATGCTGGGATTACAGGTGTGAGCCACTGTGCCCAGCCTTTTTTTTTTTTTTTTTTTTTGAGATGGAGTTTCACTCAGCCGCCCAGGCTGGAGTACAGTGGTGCGATATCGGCTCACTGCAGCCTCCACCTCCTGGGTTCAAGTGATTCTCCTGCCTCAGCCTCCCAAGTAGCTAGGATTACAGGCACCTGCCACCACATCCAGCTAATTTTTTGTGTTTTTAATAGTGACGGGATTTTACCATTTTGACAAGGCTGGTCTTGAACTCCTGACCTCAGGTGATCGGCCCGCTTCAGCCTCCCAAAGTTCTGGGATTACAGGTGTGAACCACCACGCCCAGCCTAATTTTTTTAGTTTTGTAGAGAGAGGATCTCCCTATGTTGCCCAGGCTTGAACTCTTGGCCTCAAGCAATCCTCCTGCCTCAGGCTCCCAAAGTGCTAGGATTACAGGCATGAGCCACCATGTCTGGCCAACTATTTTGTTATAAACTATTTTAGGTGTGTGAAGAAGGATGAGGTTTTATCTTTGGTGTATTTAAATGTGTTTTGGTGAAACAGTAGTCGTACAAGTTGCCAGTGGGACTCTCTGGACACAGGGCTGCAGATAAGAAGGGGCATGTTTCTTGCCAAGGGAGGTGGCAAACCACCTTCTCTCTGCTCTCCTTGGGGAAGGACAGACCCTAGGGAGCCTGCTTCTCTCCACCCTGCAGAGATCCTCACCATGGAAAAGGAAGTGGCCCAGAACCTTCTCAACGCAAAAGAGCAGGTGCACCAGGGAGGCGTGGAGCTGCAGCAGCTGGAAGCCGGGCTTCAGGAGGCCGGGGAGGAGGACGCCCATCTGAAGGCCAGCCTCCTATATCCTTTTCTGCTAGGGGTCAGTCTTGCTAGAAAACATGCATAGGGCCAGCCGCAGTGGCTCGCGCCTATAACCCCAGCACTTTGGGAAGCCCAGGTGGGAGGATCTTGTTGCCCAGGAGTTGGACACCAGCCTGGGCAACAGATACCCTATCTCTACAAAAATAAAAAAATTAAGCCGGGTGCAGTGGCTCATGTCTGTAATCCTAGCACTTTGGGAGGCCGAGGAGGGCGGATTATGAGGGCAGGAGATCGAGACCATCCTGGCTAACACAGTGAAACCCCGTCTCTACTAAAAATACCAAAAAAATTAGGCAGGTGTGGTGTCCGGCGCCTGTTCCCAGCTACTCAGGAGGCTGAGGCAGGAGAATGGCATGAGCCCAGGAGGCAGGGCTTGCAGTGAGCTGAGATCACGCCACTGCACTCCAGCCTGGGCAACAGAGTGAGACTTTGTCTCAATAAGTAAATAAATAAATACATGAATAAATAAGCAAGCAAGCTGGGCATGGTGGTACACGCCTGTAGTCTCAGCTACTTGGGAGGCCGAGGTGGAAGGATTACTTGGGCCTGGGAGATTGAGGCTGCACTCCAACCTGGGTGACAGAGCAAGACCCTGTCTCAAAAAAAAAAAAAAGAGACCAAGCGCAGTGACTCACACCTGTAATTACAGCACTTTGGGAGGCTGAAGCAGACAGATCACTTGAGGTCAGGAGTTCGAGACCAGCCTGGCCAACATGGTGAAATCCTGCCTCTACTAAAAATACAGGAATTAGCAGGCGGTGGTGGTGTGCGCCTATAATCCCAGCTACTCAGGAGGCAGGGGCTTGAGAATCACTTGAACCTGGGAGGCGGAGGTTGCAGTGAGCTGAGATCACGCCACTGCACTCCAGCCTGGGTGACAAAGCAAAACTCTGACTCAAAGTAGAAAGTGTGTGTAGATAGAGCCAAGACACTGGGCCTCCCAGCTGCAGTTAGCGCAGGGGCAGCCCTCTCAAAAGCTGGGGTCCTTAACCACCTGCCCTACTCAGCTCACCAGAGAGCTGGAAGAGCTCAAGGAGATCGAGGCAGATCTGGAGCGACAGGAGAAGGAGGTCGACGAGGACACGACAGTCACAATCCCCTCGGCCGTGTAGGTTCTGCCAAAGCGTGTGCCTGCCTGTGCCTCCTTGTGCAGTCCGGCTCTTGGTTGAAGTCAGTGCTGGGTAACTTACTTTCTTTCTTTTTTTTTTTTTTTTTGTCTTCCTGTAGGTACGTGGCTCAACTTTACCACCAAATTAGTAAAATTGAGTGGGATTATGAGTGTGAACCAGGGATGATCAAAGGCAGTATCCTTTTTGGGGAGCCATTTTAACCCTTATGCACTGTAGGTAGGGATGTAAAATGGTGCATAGCAAGACCCTGTAAAAATTAGCCAGGTGTGGTGGTGTGCACCTGTAGTCCCAGCTACCTGGGAGGCTGAGGTGGGAGGATCACTTGAGGCCAGGAGTTTGAGACCAGCCTGGGTATCAGTGAGACCCCGTGACTACAATAAATATACAGTAAAGTATAGCAGCCCAGGTGTGGTGGCTCACGCCTGTAATTCCAGCACTTTGGGAGGCCGAGGCGGGCAGAACACCCGAGGTCGGGCGTGGTGGCGCATGCTTGTAGTCCCAGCTACTCAGGAGGCTGAGGCATGAGAATCGCTTAACCCCAGGAGGCAGAGGTTGCAATGAGCCGAGATTGCGCCACTGCACTCCAGTCTGGCCTACAGAATGAGACTTTTGTCTCTAAAAAAAAAAAAAGGTAAAGGCAGTATCCTTTTCCCCATGAAAAGGGGTTGTGTGAGGGGCTGTGTGTCCCAGACTTTCCTTACATCTGTGCCTCAGTCCATCATGGCCCCAGTGTGGCCCAGCCCATCCACCTGGACAGCACCCAGCTCTCCAGGAAATTCATCAGCGACTACCTCTGGAGCCTCGTGGACACCGAGTGGTAGCCAGGAGCCTCGTGGCTGCGTCTTCCACCCAGCGGGCATCTGCTGTGGTCGGATCCTCGGATCTATTTCAAATGAAATGTGTGCACAGATTTTTTTTTTTTTTTTTTTTTTTTTGTTAGACAGAGTTTCATTCTTGTTGCCCAGGCTGGAGTACAATGGCACAATGTCAGCTCACAGCAACCTCTGCCTCCCGGGTTCAAGCGATTCTCCTGCCTCAGCGTCCCAAGTAGCTGGGATTACGGGCGTGTGTCAACACTCCCAGCTAATTTTTTGTATTTAGTAGAGATGGCGTTTCACCATGGTGGTCAGGCTGGTCTTGAACTCCTGACCTCAGGTGATCCACCCACCCCAGCCTCCCAAAGTGCTGGAATTACATGTGTGAACCACCGTGCCCAGCTAGACTTCCTTTTTTTTTTTTTTTTTTTTTTTTTTTTTTTTTTTTTTTTACTAGATTTCTTTTTCTCCTGATTTTGGCCTCAGCTCAGTAACCAACGGGAGTCGACTTATCCATGCCAGGCCTGCAGTTTCACATCTGTGGCAAGATGGGACAGATGACACTGCTGTATTCGATGACAGCTCCCAGGTGTTACAAGGCTGGCCCTCATTCATTCAGGGGGTATGTTTGAGTGCCACGGTGTGCCCAGACTCTGCTAGGCACCAGAGAGACAAGACACAAGTGACGTGGCTCTCCTCCCACTGCTGACGGAGGAGTCCACACAAAAGCAGACAACACTCTAGAACTAGAGAGAGGCCCAGATTGTGACAGGAGCCACACCAGAGTGTGCTTCATGGAGGACGGAAGCAACTTTTGTGCCTGGACTTAAAAAGATAAGCCGGCCAGTGCAGTGGCTCAGGCCTGCAATTCCAGCACTGTAGGAGGCAGAGGCGGGCAGGTCACTTGAGCCCAGGAGTTGGAGACCAGCCTGGGGAACATGGCAAGACCCCTTCTCTACAAAAAAGTTAAAAAATTTGGCCTGGCGCAGTGGCTCATGCCTGTATAATCCTAGCACTTTGGGATCTAAAACACAACACTTCCCAGCTGCCCTTGTAGTTAAGGTCTGGCCAGTGAAATGTACGTGAAAGTGTTACATGACACTTCTAGAAGGGTTCTTAAATGACAAGTACAACCTTTCTTCCCCCTTCCTATTTCCTGGAATGTGGGCGTGATGGCTGGAGCCCTGGCAGCCATACTGCCACATGTACAGACGAGTGCAGTCCCTTAGGGATGACAGGAGCCTGGTTCCCCGATGATAGCAGAGCCAGATATCAACACAGACTTATAAATGGGGGAGAGAAGGGAGAGAACCAACCTCAACTTCTACCTTGTGTAAGCTGCTGGTTTGGGGGGTTTTCTGTGACAGATACCAAAATAAGTCCTAACTGATTGAACATGTACTCCAGTCCAGGGCCAGCCAATCAATGTGTTCATCATTCTCCCATCCTCGGTGTTTTGGGTACCACTAAGGGAAGGAGGCTTGCACATCACCTGCCTGCCTGAGGGAGGAGAGAGGGAGGTGGGGTCCCGCCCACACGGTTGTCCCCGGATACAGCTTTGTCCTTGGATGTGTTAGTTCCATGAACTTGGACTTGGGTTTCATGTTGCTTTCCATGACTGAACTTTAAGTGCAGTTCTTTCTTAATCAGGGGTGTTTTTAGGCAGAGGGAACAGTCAGCTTTAACAGCTTCTGAGCATGTTCCACGGACACTGAAATGGTCCGTTCAGGTGACCCTCAGGTCCTGGGGTGAGAAGGCTGAACTGGTGGCCTCCAGGGAGATCAACCTAGAAAAGAGGGATAAGGGCCGGGCGTGGTGGCTCACGCCTGTAATTCCAGCACTTTGGGAGCCTGAGGTGGGTGGATCACAAGGTCAAGACGTCAAGACCATCCTGGCCAACACGGTGAAACCCCCCAACACTTTGGGAGGCTGAGGTGGGTGGATTACAAGGTCAGGAGATCAAGACTATCCTGGCTAACATGGTAAAACCCCATCTCTACTAAAAATATAAAAAACTAGCCTGGGCCGGGTGCGGTGACTGACGCCTGTAATCCCAGCACTTTGGGAGACCAAGGCGGGCAGATCACGAGGTCAGGAGATCTAGACCATCCTGGCCAACACGGTGAAACCCCGTCTCTACTAAATATACAAAAAAATTAGCCAGGCATCATGGCGGGCGCCTGTAGTTCCAGCTACTCGGAAGGCTGGGGCAGGAGAATGGTGTGAACCCGGGAGGCGGAGCTTGCAGTGAGCTGAGATCGCGCCACTGCACTCCAGCCTGGGCGACATAGTGAGACTCCGTCTCAAAAAAAAAAAAAAATATCCTGGCGTGGTGGTAGGCACCTGTAGTCCCAGCTACTCGGGAGGCTGAGGCAGGAGAATGGCGTGAATCTGGGAGGCGGAGCTTGCAGTGAGCCGAGATTGTGCCACTGCACTCCTGCCTGGGCAACAGCAAGACTCCATCTCAAAAAAAAAAAGAAAAGAAAAGAGGGGGCTGGGCATGGTGGCTCATGCCTGTAATATCAGCAACTTTGGAAGGCTAAGGCAGGTGGGTTACCTGACATCAGGAGTTCAAGACCAGCCTGGCCAGCATGGTGAAACCCCGTCTCTACTAAAAATACAAGTTAGCCAGGCGTGGTGGCAGGCACCTGTAATCCCAGCTACTCTGGAGGCTGTGGCAAGAGAGTCGCTTGAACCCAGGAGGTGGAGGCTGTAGTGAGCCGAGATCATGCCATTCCACTCCAGGCTGGGCAACAAGAGTGAAACTCCATCTCAAAAAAAAAAAAAAAAAAATTTTTAAGGGATTTTTGAGTCTAGCCCTGAAATATCAGAAATCTCAGTCCATTCGGCTTGCAAAGATTCTGAGAATGGTGGGCCTGGGTTTAGATGTGTTCCTAGAAGCCCTTGGGGCTGTTTTAATTTTCCAAGTTCATGGATTTTCTCTCTTTTTTCTTTTCTTGAGATAGTCTCACTCTGTCACCCAGGCTGGAGTGCACTGGCACAATGTCGGCTCACTGCAGCCTCAACCTCCTGGGCTCAAGCAAACCTCCCACCTCAGCCTGGGAAGCAGCTGAGACTACAGGTGCATGCCACCGTGCCCAGGTAATTTTTGCACTTTTTGTAGAAATGGGATCTTGCTATGTTACCCAGACCGGTCTCAAACTCCTGGGCTCAAGTGATCCTCCCACTTTGGCCTCCCAAAGCGCTGGGATTAGGGGCATAAGCGACAGCACCCGGCCGGTTCTTTTATGTGACCTGAACAGGGAGCAGAGTCCTCTATTTGTGCCTCTGACCCCCAAAGATCTGAAGACCTGAAGCAGAGCAGGGCTTTTCTGCCTCAGCTCTAGTGACATTGGGCCCGGCCGTTCTGTGTGTTGGGGGCTGTCCTGGGCGTCATAGGACAGTTAGTGTCATCCCTGGCCTCCACCCACCAAATGCCAGTAGTTCCCCCTCAGCCTTAACAACAGGAAATGTCTCCAGCTGTTGCCAGTGTCCCTTCCGGGAGGAAGTCACACAAAGCCTCTCGCCTGCCTTGAAGCCTCAGGCAGGGACCAGTTTGCAAGTCAGGTGTCAGTGCCAGGGTTGGCTGAGCCTGCTGTCACCTTTGTGGTCATTCCTTCCCGCACACGGGACAGGGTGCCTCCACTGGCCGGTTCTCCGGTGCAACTGTGGGTGCCAGGAGTGGAGTGGGCCCAGCCCATGCATGGCTGAGAGTCCTGGGGTGGGGGAATGGGCACGTTTCCCTCTCGTCCTGCAAACTGCAGCTCCAAGTGCCCTGGAGAGAAAGCAGGCATGGGGACAGAGGGGCCGCAGTGACGAGGGTTCTGGGAGCCCAGGTTTATCTGTACCCCTGGCCCAGGGCCCGTGCCCCCCCACCCTGGGGTTGGCGCTCCCTCCCCACAGGAATGGCCTGGCTTTGTTCCCAGAGGGGGCCAAGGAGCTATTGCCCTGCCCTGTCACTCCACATCCCCTCCACCCCAGCAACCTGGACCTCAGTTTCCCCAAGGAAGAGACGGTCCCATCAGGGGGTCTGTGCTGGGGCTCAGAGAGGCCCTGTGCCCACCACCCACATCCCCGTTCCCATCCCCCTCAGGCAGGACCAGGGTCCCCTCTATGGGGAGAGTGAGTGGGAGAGGAACGCGGCCTGGTGGGGGCCCAGCGGGCGGGTTCCGGGAGGTGCCTGATCTCCGGGGCCGGGAGAGGCCCCACTCCGCATGCCTGGCCCCTGACTCACTGCCCAGTGCTGGCTGAGTGCCCAGGACAGCCTGAGGCCGGTGGCCCCCAGCCCCGCCCCTCCCACCCCCGCCCCCGTTTGTTCTCCGTCTGAGAGCTGCCCCTTCGGCCACCGGCTCTTTCCTGAATGATGGAGGCTGGCCAGAGGCTTGTTGATGGCTCAGCCCAGCCCTGCTGAGGTGGGAGTAAAGTTTCAGGCCCCAGGACGTGGGGCTCCACACTGGTCCCTGCAGCACTGAGGATCAACCCCAGGACCATCCATTTTACAGATGGGGAAACTGAGGCACACAGGACAAGGACGACCCTGGATTCTGAACTTAAGCAGCGAAGCCCCCCAATGCCCCCCAGGGGCAGGGTGATCTCACTCGGGGCCAGGGCAGCGTGTTTGCATCAGCAGCCCCTGGAGGATGACGCTGGCTTCTCAGATGGGAGGCAGCTCCTTTGAGGAGTCCACCTTGTGTCCGAAGCCACCCAGGTGGGAAGCGGCCAAGCCAGGGTGGGCATCCACACCTGCACCTGCCCGAGCCCCAGAGGGCGGCAGGGGGGCAGCCCAAAGCTCTAGCCACTTAGTCATTATTGGCAGGAGGTGTGCAGGCCACGAACTCACACCACGGCCAGTCCCCTGCTCGTAACTGGTGTTTCTGGGGACAGGCGCCCAGGGAGTCTCGAGGCTGAAGCCTTCCTCGGGCTCTGCTGCTCACTGGGCAGCTTCCCCTGAGGACTAGACTCGGGTCCCTTTCCCCAGACTCCCAGGCCCTGGTGGGGGTAAAGTGCGGTAAAGTGCATCCTCAGCCAATAGTGGAGGCCACCCAGAGGGGCAGGCGGCCGGGAGCAGCTTGGGATGGCTGCGCCTTTTTTTTGAGACGGGGTCTCGCTCTGTCGCCCAGGCTGGAGTGCAGTGGCCGGATCTCAGCTCACTACAAGCTCCGCCTCCTGGGTTCACGCCATTCTCCTGCCTCAGCCTCCTGGGTAGCTGGGACTACAGGCACCCACCACCATGCCCAGCTAATATTTTTTTTTTTTTTTAGTAGAGATGAGGTTTCACCGTGTTAGCCAGGATAGTCTCGATCTCCTGACTTCATGATCCGCCCGTCTCGGCCTCCCAAAGTGCTGGGATTACAGGCTTGAGCCACCGCGCCTGGCCTTTTTTTTTTTTGAGACAGGGTCTCACTCTGTTGCCTAGGCTGGAGTGCAGTAGTGTGATCACAGCCTCACTGCAGCCTCGAATTCATCGGCTCAAACAATCCGCCTGCCTCAGCCTCCTGAGTAGCTGGGGCCAAGCCTTTCATGCAACCCTCCTCTGGCCTGGCATTCAGTGCCCCTTCCCTGATAGTTCTGGACTAAGACGTGCTCAAGGTTCTTCCTAGTTTATGGTTAAAAGAAACATCATGGCCGGGTGCAGTGGCTCACCCCTGTAATCCCAGCACGTTGGGAGGCTGAGGCAAGCAGATTACGAGGTCAGGAGTTTGAGACCAGCCTGGCCAAGATGGTGAAACCCCATCTCTACTAAAAATACAAAAATTAGTTGAGCGTGGTGGCACATGCCTGTAATGCCAGCTACTTAGGAGGCTGAAGCAGGAGAATCGCTTGAACCCAGGAGGCGGACATTGCAGTGACCTGAGATCACACCACTGCACTCTAGCCTGGGTGACAGAGCAAGACTCCGTCTCAAAAAAAATAAAGAAAGAAACAGATCGCAATAGGGCTTGCCTGTGCACAGGAAGCAAGCTTCCAAGGCTGGATTTGAACCCAGGGTTGTCGGGTCTGAAGCTTCAGTTTCGCTTCTGGGATGGACAGGATGGGAGAGGCCAGGAAGACCAGTTTTGTGTCATTGGCATGACAGTGCTTGGGTTCTGCGGGGGACCCCCCCTGAGGTCTGGGACTACAGCCTCCAGGCAACTCATCTAGGAATGTGGGCCACCCTTGTCCACTCTCACAGTGGCTCCACAACCTCCAGTGACCTCATATATATATATACACACACACATATATGTATATATATTTTTTGAGATGGAGTCTTGCCCTGTCACCCAGACTGGAGTGCAATGGCGTGATCTCGGCTCACTGCAACCTCCGCCTCCTGGGTTCAAGCGATTCTCTTCCCTCAGCCTCCCAAGTAGCTGTGATTACAGGCACCTGACATCACGTCCCACTAATTTTTGTATTTTTTTAAGTAAAGACGGGGTTTCACCAGGTTGGCCAGGCTGGTCTGGAACTCCTGACCTCAGGTAATCCACCCACCTCGGCCTCACAAAGTGCTAGGATTACAGCCACTGCGCCTGGCTGGCCTCCCATATTTACTTAGAAATGTGAACTGGGCCAGGCACTGTGGCTCATGCCTGTAATCCCAGCACTTTGGGAGGCCAAGGCAGGAAGAT